AACAGATTTGAACATAAAGAAAATAAATTTCAATCAAAAAAAGTCAACAGATAAATTACGGAATAAAATTGGAATAAAATGTCTTTCAAAACAAATAAAATAACTTCTCACTAAATTATTTCACAAATGGTGAAGCTCTTACCAAAAAATAAAATATCTATTGGACTTAATGTCTTATACTCTCGTTTCCTTGACTTTCAACAATTTTCATACATTTTAGAGAAGCCAATCCTAGATAGACAACAATTTTGGTTTCATACATGATACTGTTTTTTTTTTTTTTTTTTCAGAAAATTCAACTGGCATATTAGAAAGGATGGAGCAAACAACACAGCATTGTTTGAAAATAAATTATTTTAATAAGTTTTTAATTTTTTACAAAAAGATATACAAAAAAAAAAATAGAGAAAGCGGTGCCACAACTTATGACCTTTCAATTTTTTTTGACTAAAATATGTAATTTCCAAACAAGACAAATTTGTTAACAAGTTGTAGCCAAAAATTTCTTATGAGACATTAATTTTTATCGTACTTTCACTTTCACTTTCACTTTCACTTTCACTTGGTTTGCCTCTGATATATATACCATATATAGTGTTTTAGTGATTTGAGGTTTGTCTAACGTTACAAGAAATATTGACCATAGATGATCTAAAAGTTCTCATAAAAATTAACTAACCAATTTACCTAATTGTTTCTTCTTCTACAAGGTCCGGTTTTATTTTTACTTTTATTTAATTGTCCTCAAAATTTCGTTTCTCTCTATTTATTTTTTTACAATTTTGGGTTTTATTTCTTACAAAAGTGATAGAGACCCCCTTTTTCCCTGAACTCCACAACTCCCACAGACACATGTCAGTGAATGATAGGAGGAAAAAAAAAAACAAAACAAAACAAAACAAAAACAAAACAAAAAGCAAAAAGTTAACTCAAAAAAAGAAGAAAAAAAAGGGAGATCTCAACCTTTTTTCTATTTCTTAACATTATCAAAAACTGTTCTTACTTTCATTGCTAAATATTGTTTTCGCTTAGACTCCATTGATGCTACAACCAGCTATTTTCCAGCACTTTTTTCTCCTGGGTAGAAAAACTTACCCAGATGACAACTACATACAAAAAGATTACAGTACCACAACCGGTCTATCAATATCTTATTTCACAATTCCATAACAAAGTATCCGAGTTCTGTTTAACCTATATATTTCTTGCTCTACAAATGAGTACATATTCATATGTACATATATTAGCATCTCTAACGTGTAGATTAACAATATTTTCAAAAAATACAGTCGTTCATCACTACTAAACACTATCCAACAAAAATTCAGAATGTTAAAAATTGTACTAGCAAATTAATTAACTCACACATAATTCGAAAATAATGCATATATATATATATATATATATTCAAATGGCAGTTTCTCGAGGCATGTCCACCACTACTACTACTTTCATAGATGATCATCTGAAAAAATAATTTCCAACATACCAAAATAGTCAACAAAAGACAAGCATAGGTGGGGGAAGAGGGAAGAGGGAAGAGGGAAGAGGTGAGGGAACATGAAAGTTCAACAGCAGAGGCAACTAGCATGATGGTGGAGTGGTCACAATGTCATGCAGACAAAAGGTGGGGCAAATGAGTTCTCTCCAGGAACAAATCCCATGAAGCTGATAGATAGACCCAACAAGGTTGGATCTATAAGACTATTACAACTAAAGTTTAATAAAAAGCTGAGTAGTGTAGTGTGTCACATTTATGACAAACACAGTAGTTCCATCCTTTCTTTATCCACTAAAAGATTGCTTACTTTCTCTCCTGTCTCTACCATTATTTGTTGGGTGGTGGGTCTGGTAATGTGATTTTGATCTTGTTAAGAGATGGGGAGCAAAGACAATCTCAATTGATTTTGGTTTTGGATTTTTTTGGAGGGTGAAAGCGCCTTTGGTTTGAACTATGATGCCAAAATGGTTTCTAAAGTTTGATGGTCTTCTGGTAAAGAAATACCTCAACATCATGTTCTTTTCCTATTCAGGGAAAATCTAAACCCTACAATAATCTTCTTTATGTTTTCTGAGCAAAACAGTGGAGCCAATATATGTTCTCTTTGCTGGCAAAATACCATTATTTGAAACTTGTTGGATCTTGATTGGCTTAATAATGTCATTTTCAGGGATATATATATATATATTGACAACTCTATGAAATATGCTTAATATTTTCGGCCTAAAAACTTAAGCAACTGACCCCTCTACATTGGGTATCACTTCTCTTGTACTTAATTCCAAATGCTTCACTTGTATATATATTTACAAATCTAGCTCCTTGTACAACTATTAAAACATGTAGGGTCTAATGGCATTAGACCAATTTGGCAACTAGTGAGCAGTATGTCATCTAATGGCAGCAAAACCATCATTTTTACATTGATATACATGTTACTAATGGTGGATGAGGCAAACTCTTACCAAGCATGATGCTTGGATTCGAGTCTCACTATTGCATGATGCAGCTTCCCCTTTCCCTATTCCTTCTTATGGCTTGGGAAAAAAATAATCTCCATGCACACCTCCAATACAAGGGCCAAAAAAACACAACAAACAAATTTGTGAGAGCTTGATATGCATTTTGGGCCCATACATTTAAAATATAAACTGTGGGCTTGGGGTATACTAGTAATCCTTATCTGTTCTCCTCTCCACATGCAAGCAAGCTGGCTTCCTTTCTATTTTTATATTATTTTTTATTTCCTCGATAAAAATTGAAGTTAATTGCATTAAAAATATATTGGGGGCTCTTTCAGTTGGATAATACAGACTAGATGGCCAACTCCAGGAGCCACATGATGAACCAAAAGAAAACAAAACGCTTCAACATAATACTCAACAGCAATCTAACTATCAAGAATTGTGCAAATCAAAATTCTCACAACCTTCCCAATGTCTGGCCAATGTCAAGAATGCCTCCATACCCATCAAATCAAGTTAACCTTCCACAAGCAAGTCCTTTTCACATATGCAAAGAATTTTATCACAAGCTTTCTCATTTATAAGCAAATCATATTCATGACTATACCTTGAATCATCAAAACGTTAAATAACAAATTGCTCAAAAAATGGAGGAGATCATGAAACTTTCAAGAGGAACATACACAAAACCCTAATAGTTAGGCCTTAGTTTTTTTCTCCCAAAAAGCCAACACTTTACTAAAGGCAAGTTTGGCAACCTACTAAAATAGCCAAAAACTCACTACCAAAAAGTTAACTATTCTCCCTACTTTTCTGTACATTTTTTTGCCAAAATCCAAAAAGCCAACTAAAATAGTTAGTTTCCAAAACAATCCTAAATCTTCACAAGCGTCTCTGGCAGCTTTGCTACAGACACACAAAATATATATATATATATATAACCCTACTACAGATACCACCATCCTTGCAAAGGCGGTGGCGGTGGCGGTGGCGGTAGCAGTAGCATGAGCAGAGTAGAAACATTTTCAAAAAAAAATAAAAAAATAAAAAAATTACAGAAAGTGCACAAAACTGTGCACTTTTTCTTGATTCCTAACTTTCACGTGTGTCTCTAGATGTCCTGTTGTGAAAAAAAAAGGAATGTAGTCTGATAAAAATAGACAATGTCATGTCATGGAAAAGTAAAACTTTCCAAGTCCTAGAGAGGTGAGTGATATTAATAGTTGGAAGCTTGAAGGACAAATATACAGTCTGCCGACTACTAATCTTGCATTTAAGTGCATGCTGCGCCAATATGTCACTTGGGGGGGGTGTTGGGACAAAGGCTTTATTGTTAGCCTTCACAAGGGGCGAAAAGAAAGAGGTACTATTGGACAAACTTTTCCAAAGTGAAGATGGTGGCCCTTCTTGTCCTAGTTGTACACTAGGCTTCCCACATATGGTGGTCGGGACTCACCATTGGACAATATTGATCATGGAGATATGATTAGCCAAAAGCGAACAGGTGAGGTGACCCTTAACCATTAGGAAATTGTCATCAGGCTCCAGCATACACAGGTGAGATATGTCCTACATGCAATATCATGGAGGGATCAGAACAAGAAGCATGATGATGAATTGTATTCTAGGATACATACCAGTGACAACCATCTCAATTCTAGTGTGTCTAGCTTCCAGGGTTTGAGCAATTATATTTTGGAAGTAAGTTCTAAAACTGAACGAAAGCTTTAAAAAGAAAATAGGCACAAACCGGGTACAAATCCAAGGCATGCTGAGATACAATCATCAAGCTCTGCCAACATCATGAACTCTGATGATGTAAACTCCCATTCCTAAATCTATAAACAACTTACATGCTCTCTATGATCTTAAATGTATACTGAACATCAAAGTTAGGATTCAAGACACCATTTATTAATTCCAATTATTTAGTCTGGTGAAACTTCAATTTTATTTGAGGAGAAAAGGGAGAAGCAATGAAATCACTACCCTTGATCTTGCTTGTTTCCTTGAAAGTAAAGAGTAGAGAAAATAATCTAGCAAAAGCTTCCCTAAGAGGAGGGTTAGCAACTGTAAACAGATAGCTTTAAGATACATGGGCGGTGAAAAACATTTTAGATGAGGCAATGAAAGCCTATTTGGAAGATGGAGATCAACGATGAGAACCCACAGTTCTAAGACAAATCAGCCAGTGCAGCAGGTCAGCTTCCAAGATATATTTCAAGATGGAGATCAACGATGAGAACCCACAGTTCTAAGACAAATCAGCCAGTGCAGCAGGTCAGCTTCCAAGATATATTTCTTTGTGATGCCTAAATAAAATAGCAAATTTCTAGGCAGCTAGTGTCCAGTCAGTGAACAGTGTCAAAATAAAAAGACCCAACAACTGTATAACCACAAAATATGCACTGCACAACTGGTCAAGAGCTTCAGTGCAGAATATAGGGATTTAATGACAATTGGCTTTGGCTTAGTATTTTATGTCAGAATTAGAGATACCAAGAGGTGAAGCAGAAGGTAAATCACCATTCAAATACTACACAACAAGAGAAATAGCATCAAAATTATTATGAAGACATGAAAATTTTATTTTCCAAATATAGATTACATATATTTTACATGGTGTGACCTATCATCCTGTGAGCGACTGCATATTATGCAATCTACACCAAACGAAAAAATATATAAACATAAGAAACCAAACCAAACCAAACCAAGCCTTAAGTCCCATCATATAAATATGAGAAACATGCAGGACAAAAGATGGGATGCCCAACCTGCTTTCACATTATTACTAATGAAGCCTCATTGTGTGAGATTAACATCAGACACTCAAATTTATGTGATAACTGTAGGCTTCTCCCTTCCAGTGAAGTCCTTCAGCTTTGATAGAGACAGTGCCAGATCTAACACAATGACCAAGTAAACATTAAATATAATAACATAAGCAAGCTTATCAAAATGACAAATGAACCAACCTATTAATGGTTTTAGCGCAGTTTGGGCATCCATGTCGTGTTTAGAGACATCAGGCTCAAACTGTTCAATGTACATTCTAACAGTAGCACCAGCTGAACCAGTTCCCTGCAAATTCAAAACTTCATTATTTCTACCACAGTGGTTACATCATGTTCAAAATAAAAAAAATGATAATAACAATATATAAAAAGTAGTAGTAGTAGTAGTAGTAGTAGTAGTAGTTCAGTGTAAAAAGTAAAAAACAAAAAGGACAGCATGGAAAACAAAAGACAAATTAATCAATTTATGCATACTGATAAACGAAATATTATCCTTGATCCATCACTGAAAACAAACCGAACACCTTGCTTCGATGCCACACTTCCGTCTACCTGTGTGAATGTGTAAGATCTGAGTCAGAGCAATCCAGAGAGAAGTGTCTTGAGGCTTCATCTTGCTAAAGGAAACAACTACTTAAAAAGGATGATAATCATGTGAGGTGCTTCAACTTACAGGATCAGTATATGCGAAGTCATCTGCAAATTGAAGGACATAACATCCTGCAACAAACTCCCTCATTAACTTTTAAATATATAAAATGAAAGGTTGAGATAGATTCACAAAAACTGACTTCAAACTTACCATACTTATCACCTGGCTTGCTCTTAGAAACCAAATCTCTAAGATAATCTATCATTTTGTTCGCTCCTTCAGATTCACATTCCTGAATAGTGTCAGAATATGGTACAGGCAATGCAAAAATTCCAGTTTAGACTTTCAAGTTTCAAATAAATAACAAAGTTTCAGAATACTGCAAAACAATTCAAAATTCATCATAGACTAAAGCTTACTTCATAATCATATCTGGAAAAGAAGTTTCTTCCATAAGAGGCCCAGTGCTCCTTTACAACATCAGAGACGGACACCAATTTCTCCCCAGGTTTTTTGTCCTTGTTTCGATATGCAATTATTGAAAGCCAAGCCAACACAGCCCTGTCAATTGGAAATGTTGAATCATTCCACAAGGATCATGAAAATTTACGAGAGACGATCTAGACATACGTTATAGAATGAAGAAAATAAATAGTTGGTTTGAAGAGTTTTATACCGCCTGCTGCCCAACCAAAAGTAAATCTAAGAATTTAAGTTGCAAGAGCCAAACGGCCCAAACCAGTTAAACCCCCACCAAAAATATATATATATATATATATGTTAGCCTTGGAGGTGAGGTTCCCTTCTGAGCTAGAATCATATTAATCCCAGTTTCAAATTGACATTTGAACGATGTCATAGTGTTAATCCCAGTTTCAAATCGAAACGCGCAGACACCAAAAAATAAAAACCAATGTTGGACCAGAAGCAGTTTGCTAACACTGAAGAAAAAATAAAATTCCTATCAGACATAAATATATACCATATCCCATCCTTCTCACGAATGTGGTCAGAGCCTGTTCCAAAACTTTCTTCACCACAAATTGACAAATTTCCAGCATCCATAAGATTCCCAAAGAATTTCCAACCGGTAGGGACCTGAAACCAAAATGCTCATTTTTAGGAACGTACTTTGTCAGAACCTATAAATATAAGGCATCCTATTGTAAGTAAATTACTAATCTAACTCATCATAATAAATGAGTTCAGAAAGTGCTAAACCTCAAAAAAAGGAAGATTTAACTTCTGAGCAACACGATCAAGAGCACCACTTGTTGGCATTGATCGAGCTAAACCCTACAAAATTGGAAGGATGATAGTCCTTTCTGTGTTATAGGGGCAGAAAAAAAGTCAGGGGGAAAAAAAGGTAGCAAACTTCCTACTTTAGGGCCACTCCGGAAGTATGGAATATCTTCTTGAGCATTGGCTGCAATAATTGCAACAGAATCTGAAGGAGTGACAAAAAATGCATGACCAAGAATCATGTTTCTGTCACCATCACCTGGACAATGATAGAAATAATAACATTACATTTTGGTTTGACATAACCCATACGCGTATGCAACTGCCACTTCATAACACTACCAAATAAACATTTGCAATATATACATTATTATTAATATTTGAAACACTCAAAAGAGATATCAACATGTTGAACATATAAAGAATAAAAGCTATGAAGAATGGGTACTTCAACAAAAATGTTGTACCGGTACGAGGTACTTACCGGGTACAAGTACTTTGCATACGTGTCGGGTACACGAAATACGTACCCAATTTTTCTTTTCTCTTAATTTTTATTGTACCCTAGAGGTACCTATACCCAAGCCCATGTCTCAACCTGACAATATTTTCTTCTATACAGAGGTGAAGTTAATTTCATTAGAATTTTTCTTTCTTATGCTCAGCATAATTTTAAAATTAAGCTTTAGTTTATAATTTATTTAATATAATGACATGTAATTTTGATTTATACCTTACTTTTGACATTAAATGTGAATCGTAGGTTGGATCTTAACCAACTAAACTATTTAACTAATTTTTGCATTACTCCAAATTAAAAATAAATATCTTTTTATGAATGTACCAAGCCATAGTACTTGTATCCTACTTTTTTTTAAATTTTACCAAATTGACAGACCCGTATTGTTCCAATACCCATACCAATACCCGTACATGTGCTTCATAGAATAAAAGTATTGAACTGAAAACACTTATTCTTACTTGGACTAAATTCAAGGCTAGATATTACTGCTGAGTTTCTAATATGCCTGTGTAATCTATACACCAACAGTACAGCTTAATTCTACTCCCATAACCTTCTTCTCTATTTAAATACCTTATCAAATCTATAACATTAATATAAATTTTAGAATACAACACCAAGCTTATTTGCCTAAATACGAACCTCTAATGCGCACCTAAGTAGCACACACATGGACATGTGGCATGACATTGGACACAACATGGACAAGCTGACACGATTTTCAAAAAATGCAAGACATGATATATATCGGAGACGTAAAAAATTTATGTTTTTTTATAATTTATTATATATCAAATATATGAATAGTTTATCCAAAAGTAAAGAGAAAAAAAAAAACCCAAAACAAAACAAAACAAAACAAAAAACAACATAACACTAACTAAAATTAAAAACAGGACATATTCTATGACTTAACACCAATACATCATTCACATAACAATTGCATGCTAAAGAATGCAGAACAATCGTCAAATATTGAAATACACATGATATATTCATTTTATAAATGTTTCAAAATATATTTAGAGCGCACAAGTTACATTAAAAATAATGCACAACATTGTTACTATTAACGATTAAGTGTTGGTGTCTATGTTATCTATGACACACCATGACATCAACCCTATTCTATAATGTCATCCATGGCATCATCCCTATTTTATTATGTAATCCATGACATAAGTCCTGATCTACTTTAGCTTATAAATAAGCTACTTCATCTCATTGTAAACACAAGTCTACATATCAATAAAATCTTCTCTCTTCATTTATATATCTGACATGGTATTAGAGCCATATCTTCTTCCTCGAAGATTTCTTGTCCTTGTCCTTGTTTCTTTTCTTTTTTTTTCTTTTTTTTTTAAAAAATCAAATTTTGTAAAAAATATATATATATATTCAGCATGTTCGACTAGGGCCTATTTTAATTTTTACTCATTATTTGATTGATTTTCTATTTTTCCTTATCTTTTGGAAAAATTGGTGGTTTTTCTAGAAATCATTGATGATAAGGCTTTCAGTTGGTTTTTTCTCTTCCTTCCTAGTCCTTGGAAGCCGACTAGTGCATCGTTGGCCTTTGTTGTCTGTGTTTTGCAGTTTTTGTGGGACTTCTCTCCTTGAATGACTGATTCGGCTCATATAGGTGTTGTCCCAACAATGTTTGCTTGGGTCTAGCTTTGTTTTTTGGGCTCTACGAGTAACATACTGGTCTTGAGTTCGTGTTTTTAGACTTGCTTTTGTTTGTTTGGATTGTCCCTGTTGTGTGGTTTTAATTTTCAATGGCTGAGGGTGAGAATAAGGATCCTTCAATCAATGAGGACTATGGGCAACATCATGTCGTGACTCTTAACGATAGTCCATCTCTTCAAATCAGTCCTATGAAACTTGATGGCACCAACTACCTGATTTGGCCCTGCTCTTGTAGTCTTGCTATTGCTGCTCGCCGATTTACTGGTTATATTACCAGTGATCTTCCTCAGCCTGCCTATGATGATCCTTTGCATACTCAATGGGTGTCTGAGAATTCTTTAGTTGACTTGGCTAATTAACTCTATGCAACCTACAATCAGTAGGTCTTTTCTTCCCTTGGATACTGCTTATAAGATTTGGACTGTTGCTTCCCAAATGTATTCTCAGCAGGGTAATGACACACAGACATATGAGTTAAGGAAGAAACTTCGAGGCTTGGATCAGAAGGATCGCTCAATCGTGGTGTACGATGCTAAATTAAGTAACTTGTGGCAGGAGCAAGATTATTATCAGAGTTTCTAGGCTGTTTGTTCCAAGGATGCAACTTTATTTCAGCAAACTGTGAAAAAGGAGCGTGTGTATGACTTCTTTGCTGGCCTTAATTTGGAGTATGATCAAATTCGTGTTCAAGTATTGGGTTGCTTTCCTTTCCCCACCTTACGCAAGGCTTATGCTCTTATTCAGCAAGAAGAAAGTCAGCATAGTGCTATGATCCATCTCTCTATTCAGGATCAATCTACTTTGGTTGTGGCTCCTACCACTCGTGATCTTAAGCCTAGTTCAGTTCCGTTTGGTATTAAGGGTAACATAGGTGACAACGATCGTTTGAAGTGTGCTTATTATGGGAAAGACCGACATGATCGTGAGCATTGTTGGAAATTGAATGGTCGCCCTACTCACGGTCGTAACCGAGGTAGTATAGCTCATCCATAAGCATGTGTCTGAGATTGCAACTAGTACTTCCTGTGAGCCCAGTACTCTTTCCTAGGATGAGTTATACATTCTCAGGCATTTGATGGCTTGACTTGATTCTCCATCTACCACAGTTCCTTCAACTTCTGCTTCTTCCAATTTTGCCCACACAGGTACCCCTGCTAGCGCTCTTAGTACATCCTCGTCACCTTCTTGGATTATTGATTCTGATACTACCGACCACATGACAAGTGCCTCTAGTCTTTTCTCTACTTATTCTCCTTATTCTGAGTGAGATAAGGTTAGAGTGACTTATGGCACTTTATCTTCTGTCTCCAGCAAGGGTTCAGTTCATTGCTCATCTTTATTTTTTCTTTCCTTTGTGCTTCATGTTCCTAATTTTTCTACAAACTTACTTCTGTTAGTAGCCTTACTGCTACCCTAAACTACTTAGTGACATTTTTTTCCTACTCATTGTGTCTTTCAAGAACTGGCTACGGGGAAAATGATTGATAGTGGTAATGCATATGGTGGATTGTACTTTTTGGATGTTGTTTCTCCTCCATTACCGTTGTCCAACACTCAGGCTCTTCAGTGCACTATTGGTTCTCCTCTTCCCCTCCTTCATCAATGACAATCTCGTTTAGGTCATCCATCCTTTAGTATTTTAGAAGACTTTTTGCTTCATTAGTTCGAGATTGTTCTAGGAACACCTTTGTTTGTGATGCTTGTGAACTTGTTAAGTATGAATGTACTTGTTATCCTAAAGTTAATAAAAGAAATACCTTTCCTTTTATGCATGTTCATACTAATGTGTGGGGCCTTCCCGCGTAGTGTCTACTTCTGGATATCGTTGGTTTGTCACTTTCATTGATTGTTATTCCTGTGTGACTTGGGTCTATCGTTTTCGAACTAAAAGTGAGCTTTTTTCTCTAGTTTTTGCATTTTTCATAAAATGGTACACAATCTCTTTAATGCTACCATTAAAATCCTTCGACGTAATAATGGGACTGAGTATGTTGATGGAGCTTTCCAAGCATACCTTGAGGAGCATGGCATTCTTTATCAAACTATTTGTGTTGGCAGTCCTAAGCAGAATGGAGTTGTTGAACGCAAGAATGGCCATCTTCTTGAAGTTGCTCGCTCCCTTTTGTTTACCATAAAAGTTCTAAGTCTTTTTGGGGTGGTGTTGTTCTTACTGTTGCTTATCTCATCAACCATATACCTTCCAGTGTCCTCAAATTCAAAATTCCTCTTGCACTTCTTCCTGTGGCTTATCCCATGTCTTCCCTTCCTCCTCGGGTTTTTGGGTGTGTTTGTTTTGTTCATTTGCAACCTCGTACTCGTGCAAAGCTTGATCCTAAAGCTATGCATTGTGCCTTTCTTGGCTATTCTAATACTTGGAAGGGTTACAAATGCTATGATCCTCACACTCGAAAAGTGTATGTCAGTATGGATGTCACCTTCCGTGAATCTAAGTCTTTTTTTACTTCTTCTCTGCCATCTCCTCTAAGGTAAAGCGTTATGGATGAGATTGCGGATGAGAAGATGTCATATCAGCATGAGCTATCTTTTTTCACTCCTAGTCAATGGGCTGTTATTTTTTGTAAGGGGGAGCCTGAGAGTGGTTTTGGTAGCTTGACATTGGGGGCCGTTTGGACAAGGTTGATTTTAAGACTTATTCACGACACCAGAAAGAGCAGCCATCCCTTGCGCCACCAAGTCAGTCATCATCCCTCATGCCGGTTCCAAATCCTATTTCCACTGATTATACAGGTAATGTATCTCATTCTATTTCTTCATCAATGGTTGACAATCCTGTTATTGATTATTTGAGTCTTCCTAGTGCTCTTAGAAAGGGGGTTAGGATTTGTACGCAACACCCTATTTCTAAATTTGTGTCCTATGATTCATTCTCTTATATATCGTGCTTTGGTTTCGTCTCTATCTTTTGTGTGTATCCCACAGAATTGGAAAGAAGCTGTTAATGATCCTAGGTGGAAAGGAGCTATGATAGAAGAGATGCAAGCCCTAAGTAAGAATAATACCTGGGAGTTAGTCTCTCTTCCAAGTGG